CAGTGTGTTTGTAAAACCCTCAAAAATCTTGTTTCCTCTAAGATATATTTGTCGATTTAAAATTTTTAAATTTGAGAAACAAGGTGGAAAACAAACAAAAGATATATTTAATACAATAAGTACTCAACAATTCAGTAAACAAGATTCTTTCTTAATAATGTCGAGTCAACATTTTTAATCGAGCTCCCTTAGGCCATTGGCGAAAATCACTGCAAAAGCATCCATTTTCGTTTTGGACAAAGATAAACCAACTTCCAAACCTCCTTCCGAATCCCTGGATTTGCACAACGAAATGGAATTATCTCCATCAATAGACAGAGTCTCTAACTTTTTTGGCCTTCCCCATCCATAATCCGCATTATATAGGTCGAACTTAGGCGAACCAGATACCGAAAGCGCTCGTTTCCCCATCAGTTCTTTAAAATTCGTCAACAGATTCTCAGCTTCTTTAAAGATTTCGTCTTTGTTGTTCACCTTTATTCGAATGATCTCTGAGATTGCCTCAGCTGCCACGAAAAAACTGTCTTTAATCATCAACTTCTGGTGCTGGATTCGCACTATTCCACCTCCAAGGCAGTTGCCGAAGTAATTAGCAGGCACAGGTGGATCTGTACGAGTTCGGCCATCAGCAGCAAAAGCAAAGTATTCAGGCTCATCTGCGTCAACTTGCTCCCCACTAGCAGGCCCCGATTTCACGAAACAAGTCCAAACGTAGGCCGTCGTGACCACAAAAGATGAAAGATGAACTAAACCAGGCTTTCGAGCCAAAACTGAATCTTTGAGTTTCTTGATATCAGCTTCATGGAGAATATACGTGGCCCGAACCTTATTTGTAGGTAAATGCAACGACAGAGATTGTAACTTAACATTCTTCAACTGGTTCCAGTATATATCTGCGATTCCACGGGGATCTTTGATGACCGATTTATCGTAAAGTGGCAGGGAAATATCTTCAATAAACTGTGAATCTCCACTGAATTTGTTTATAGAAGCCCATGCCTTTATAAAGCCCACGATTGAACTCGCATCGCCTATAGCGTGATGGTTGGTAAAACCAATACATACGCCACGGTTAGGAAACAACGTTAACTGTAGACAGAAAACCGGGATTATTTTGTACTCGGGTTCGTCTTTAGGTGGTGGCAATGGAAGAACGAAAGCATAGAACTGATCAGCATCTCGTACATAATTTGCAGTAAGATTGTTGCAGTCGTCGTTGGTCTCGGCTACAGTGAGACGAACAGAGTCCCCAACAACGTAACGGAACACGGGCTTTCCATCTCTTAGAGGATACAATATGTTGCTCGCTAGCGGAATGTAATGTCTGAGAGTGAGAGGGAGTGATTTTTTGAGATTTGGGACGATGGTTTCCAAGAAATGGGCTTTGGAACACGGGAATTCGTAGAATAAAAGCCGTTGAATCGAATGAAAATACAACCATGGCATGTCGAAAAATGTTAAAGGTAATTTTAGTTCAGTTACCCCGTTAGGGGCAGGTTGGACTTCGAAGTGTTCCAGCAGAGTTGTCATTGGAGTTGAACCCAATAAATTGAAGTTCTATGGTATATGAATGATAGAAATCTTAATTTATAGACACTATTGGTTTGAACATTATTTTGTACAATTCAAAGTTGTCACGAATATGATTACTTGCAAAGAAACAAACAGAAAAGTCCGATTACCATATTTAATAGCAATACTATATGAGGTTAATTGTTAAT